ACTATTCATGGAAACAGGAGACAGAAAGCGCAAAGCGTGCTACAAAGAAAATTTTAGAATGCTTGAGAAGGAACAACGGGCATGAGTAAGCAAATACATTTTTGATCGCGAGATTGAACTTGACATGCTCCCCTCCACATCCGCGATATTGTGCAGTCACAGAAAGAGAACTGAGTTTTAGATCGAGTATAGCTGGGCATATGTTGCCATGTAATGAGAAGAATTACGAAGTGTGAGCTTTGTAACAACACTATTTCCTGTTTATAACTAAAAGTATGATCTGTGTTCAAGCTGAAACAGACTTTTGCTTTCTCGTGCACCGCTTGAGTCAATAGTTGTAAGCCAGTGAAACTTGCCTGAAAAGTAATTTTGTGTGGATAACAATTTATGATTTTTCATTATTCAGCAATGGTTAAATGGTAGAAGGAGAATTGACCGGATTGCTTTGAGGAATCTACCAGAAATCAATAGGCTAGAATTGTTTGATGGAGTGAATGAAAGCAGGCTTATACCTGAATCGGAAATACTGAAAAGGTGAACTGTTCTTGATTCAATAGTAGGCTACTCGGGAGCAAGGCCATTGTAGATCTCAAGTTTTAGACATAGACATGTATATGATCCTAAAATAGGCTGTCTGTCACAAATGGGCATGGTGGTGGTGTGGCGGCTGACGTCTAAGAGTCGTGGCGCATAGAAACTTTTGCGAAGTTTCACTCCTCTCGCGCCTCGTAACTGATGGGTTGCTTGTCGCCGCCATGTTCGCAGCAAAGAGCTGTTTGTTTTGAGGAATCGACTAATGTTAAAAGAATCGATTCTTCTATACAACTCAGAAGTAAGACTGCCTCACATGATACCTACATTTGCTTTCAGTCCTATCCTTGAGGAGCGAATGGTTAGCGAATGGAAACGTCGCGGAGAGCTTCGTGTTGGATTGCGCAGTGGATCTGGCGCTCTACTATTAATCAACTTGGGCACACATTTCTGTGACTTGATGGTTCGTAATGAAGAAAGGTCTGCTATAGAATAGCACCATAAACTGCACTTGTGATATCATAACCGTTTTTGAGCGTCAGGATGATCTTGAACATCGTTTTACTTGTTATTATCTATTCTTATAATGGAGTAGTTTTCATACTTATTATGCCACTCCGAAAGGAAAGGTTTTTGTTTTCTTCTAGCAACACTTGGCAAGTGTTGTGGAATTTAAGCAATTGAAAGGATTCACTGTTACGAAGCAATTACCTGTTTCAAATGGCGTCGTTATGACATCTTGGCATTAAGCAAAATCACGAGAACTCAAAAGACTAAAACTTTTCTTTGGAGTGCTATCATTTAAGAAGTAAAGAAGAATGAATAGACATTTCATATTTGATCAATACGAGGAGAATGTTATCACTCAGTTTTTTCTGCTGCCACATGAAGTACTATTGGAAGAATTATCCGTAGAAGATAGACTATGTATATCTTTGTATGATGTTTTTTTTTGTTTTGAAATCTAATTTTTTATGTGGATTACAGTACTTTGAAGAAGTCGTTCGTTTTAAGTTTTTCTGCCCTATCACCTAGTGCCATCTCGCTTTATCACTTTGTTTCTCACTTTTCAGTAATCCTCTCTTAGTGATCTCCACTCTTTTACAGTGCAATATTTTGCTATATCTTCCCACATTCTTAGTATAAGCGTTCAGTGTCTTATCATTGCTTCTCATATGCATTGTGTCTCATCCTTTTATAATAAACTGTTTATTCAGAATATCTGTCAATTATGCGCAAACCTGTGGTTTTGCCCTCTGATGGTACAGGAAATCAAATTCATTGTTTTCTAGAATTCTGCTCTTTCCAATTCTTTGAAGCCGCCCATTTCTTTTTAAAACTCTGAGGTTTTTGGCACCAGTGCTTTATAGATGCAAAGACGATGCAAATTTCAATTTCAAAATTGATATTGACGTATTTAGAAGCAAGTTTAACTAGTGAAGTAAACTTCTTACGTATAACAGGTCTTGCAGTATTTTCTTACCCAACTTTACTTGTTTCTCAGCAACGATTATATGACTTTTGCTTTGGATATGAAAACCGAGTTTTGCACTGTTGTTTTCCATTACCACTTACCTTTTTTGATCTTTAAGCCACAGATGAAAGCACATTGTAGTTTATTTGTGTAGTTGAAAATTACAAAAGTTTTAAAGATTTGTACGTACTCTACATATGTAAGATACTTAGGCGCAAGGTTTTACCTGCATATTTTATCTAGATTTTATTTAGATACCCAATGATGTTCTTATGCCCCAGTGTTTTGCCGCTCGAATAATTTGGGATTCTATATAATGATTATACGACCATTCACGTTGAGAATGGTGGATGCGTGCTGAGAAGTTTTGCCTGGAACTGCTGATACCAGTCGATTCAAAACAAGAAGAAAGGACGAAGGGTTGGGACAGTGGTACGATATTTAGATGAGACGTCCTACTCGTTCTTGCTACTGCAATTCGGTTAGTTTTCATTGTTGTCAAATATAGGAAGTAGTGCATTTATGGCTCAATTAGTGAACCTAAAAACAGATTTTCTAGATCTTAGCATCGATAGTTCATTAT